TCCACTGTCGAGTCTAGATAACGATGCGAAATGAGCAGTTGAGGAGGAAGAAAATGGAGGAGAAAATTTTCGAGCGTGTTGCTCTTCTTCTGATACGAAACGATTACGATTACTTCTAACGAAACGATGCGTATCATTAAATTGACCACCACTGAATTCAATTTAACACTGCCTAGAATTCTAATTGCGTTATCTCGGCTTCTACATCAATCGTTGCTCCATTATGACTACCGAATAGAAGCATTCATGTTAATTAAAAAAATTTTATCGCGAATTTCCGTAGATTTTAGTCAATTATATAGAGAAAAACCAACTTCATTAGTGTAATTAAATTCTCCGCCACCTGGGAACCAGATAAAAGGCTTGATTGTAGAAATAAAAAGATTGTCATAAGAGGTTTCTACTCAGCCAATTGCTCTCAACCGAGTTTTAACGTGGCTGAATGTTTAAACTCATGTTTTCGGTCTCAGCAACAGAGATATTAATTCTGGTCAGTGAATTTTTGTTTGGTCCTCATTTAGTTATGTGAGCGGAAATTTTTTTTTTCGCGTAAACCATTGTCAGTAGTCAGTGCACGGAAAAGAGTTAGCTGTGACAGCAAAAATCTCTGGTTAATGTTAGCTAAATCTCATTGTGTAACATATGGATATCTACACTGTGTGTAAGAAGAGAATATTTAAAAAATAAAAAAATGATCTTTTTATTATTTATTCACAGTGGATAGGTCCTCCGCTATACTATATTTGGTTATTTATATATTCACATATTTTTTTATATTTCAATTCTTATGTTTAAATAAAATCAATAATTGCTTTCATGAAAAGCTACGGTTTAAAAAAATGTGCACATATGCTCATTTGTTCTCAACCAGTGCGAGAATATATATATATTAAAATAAGTAAAACTCCGTTATTTATGCCCAACGAATAAATATTTTTTAGACATCTTTCCTTTCAGTGCAAAAGAATAACCGCTAGTAGGCATACATTTACTGTCTAAATTCCTTCAAGCTTCCCTTAAAACAAGTGAAAAGCAGCAGTATTTTCACTCAAAGCGGTAAGTGAAAATACAGCCACTCGCGAGAGCGAGTGTTTTACTCGAGCTTGGAGTGGATTCTGAGTCCACAAGAGAACTTGTGTCAGTCAATTAGAACGAATATGTTCCTGTGATAGTACAGTACATTAAATTTACTCTCCAATTTTGAGAGAAAATATTCACTCGACGATTCAAAGTAAAGAATTAATTTCGAAAATGAATGAAAAATTACTCGAATTCGACTCTGCTTTTCGAGTAAAATTCCACTCCAAAAGTTTCAAGCTTTTCAATAAAAACTTGGGTGATATGATTTTTTATGTAAATAATATATATATATATTTTTATTTTATATATTATATATATATATATATATATTATATATATATATACATATATTTTTTATGTAAATAATATCTTGAATAAGACATTTTGTTTATATAATAAATTGCATTTTTGAATTTGTTTGGGGGATAACCATCTGTCGAACTTTTTCAATCCATTTTGTCGGGAACGGTAAAAGGGTACATTTTGAAACTTATATATGTGTAATCTACTTGTGATTATCTTTCGTTTTGTAGCAAAATTACGAAACAAGAGTACGAAGAAATTAGGGAGCATTTTAACCGCACACTAGAGAGTAGCCATAAAACCAACATTGCAGCAACGACAATAGCAAAAGTTCTAGCAGCAAATTTATAGTTTTAGTTGCAGAAGCAAATGCATTTTTCAAGAAACTGATTAGCCGCGGCAAATCTTGTTATTTTTCCATGTGGCAGTGCATTGCACAGCCCGTCAACGATTAAAAGGTCCTCCTTCTTAGTGGGGCATGTTGGCCCTAGTTAACAAGATCGTCGTGCTCGCATGGGAATTGCCGGTCGACCGCTCTTTTATAGCCTTCGACGCTTTTAGAGAGGCTCCGGTTCCATCGTCCCCCGTAACGCGGCGTGCTGCCGGAAATAAAGACTCTCCATCCGTTGGCGGCCGCCGGCAGCTTTTCCGAGCAAAGTGCAACGCGCGCGCTCACGACGGATGAGGACACGATGTTGTTCCGCGCCTTGACTGGGTGCGACGTCTTCTCACTTCCATAAAGGACTCTCGTCGAGAACGGCGGCGATTGTCGCGTAGGTGTCTCGAGGAAGAGCATCCTTCACGCGTGTTCCAACCCGGAGCGCGCGCCTGCTTTTAGCGCGAGCGCGCATTAAGTTCTCTTTCAGCTTGCTGCGAATGTTGGCGTTTCATTAAGCGAACACACGTATCATTCCGCTGAACGCGTCTCGAGAAAATAACATAATCCCCGGGCTGCTCCTTCCCCGCTCCCGCGGGGGAAAGTTTCGCGCGGGATAAATTCAACGAGGTCAACAATCTGTGACGTCAAGGGCGGTGAGAAGATTAGTTTACCTCAACGGCAAGGATATTCTGTGCTGTCGTTATTTCACATTGAGAAGTTCGACACTTCTCATCGGAATTAAATCGCGTAATCTCTAATTACGAATTAGTCCTCCAATTAGGCGCGTTATTCAGGAAGATTTGCGGTGCAATTAATCGGAAACACACGTCGCCGCCTGCGGTGCGCGTTAATTCACACGCCAAAGTTTATCGGAGTATCTCCCGACCATCCTTAACTCGCGCTCTCGACCACGTCATCGCTGCTTTCTCGACCGCAAATCCTCGTTTGCTGGCGAGGCCGGCCATTTCGTCGCTTTTTCTGCGGCCCTAACGAAGTCCTTTGCCGGGTGTGCACCGGCACGACGCGGCGACGGCTGCATTGCGTGTCGCACGAAAGCTTTGGAACCAGAAACAATGCAGCGTCCGCGCCGACACGCTAGTTCAATGTAGGTGCACGTTGCAAATTTTTATTGCATCGCGAGCCGGGCGAACTTGTCAATTAATGCTGCGCAACTTCGCGAAGGGTCAAAGGGCGAGACGGCGAGAAATTTCAGTCTTACAATCCGGAAAGCCACTAGAGTGGCGCGGCAGCAACTCTATGAAATATAACAATTCCTATATATCATCCATATTTTCCATGCAAATTGGTAAAAATACACAGAGGGAACGATTTATTGAATCAAATAAATGTTTCTTTGGAATAATCCAAATAAATGATTTGGTTGACACAACAAAAATATTTCTTTGGAACTAAATCGCAAATAAATATTTTTGTTGCGTCAGACAAAATTTTGTTCGATCAATTAAAAAATTTGTTTGGACTATTTCAAAGAAATGTTTATATGATTTAACCAAATCGTTCTTTCTGTGTATACTTAAAATATAAAAATTTAAATATATGTACATGTATACTGAGAGAAACAATATCTAAAAAATAAGAGATACTTATTCGATAGATATTAATAACATCTTTACTTGCAGGAATATTTTTGCATTGAGGAAAGATTTTTTTTCAAATGAGAAAGTATATGTTTTCTGAAAACACACACGAAACAAAAACAAAAGCAGCACATACACTGTTGTTTCTCATGAAAGCAATTGTTTATTCTATTTAAATAAAAGAATTTAACTTTCAAGTAAATATCTTATGAACACCCACCGAATAAATATTTCTTACTTTTCAAATATTTTTCTTCTCAATATATGCCTCTCGAGTATTGTTATAAATTATAAACATTTTCTAAACAAAACGGTCGCGAGATTTGTGTACAATGTCGATATATTAGTCTTTAATATTATAGCGGTTTGTTGTTGAAACTCTGATTTTAATTAACAAAAAATAGAAAGTAGCACGCGCGTGTCAGCCTTAAGGAACAGGTGTGTCAACTTCAGTCCCAAATATCTTGATTGCTGAAAGGGGTCAGTCTTGTACGAATTACGCGAGCAGTTAGATAATTTGTATATGTAGCACAAGTTTCAATGAACTCTCAGCGAACTCATTTTACCTTGTAACCTCTTTGGAGCGTCGCGCTTCTCCCACCGCTTCGAAATTCAAAAAGTCACGGGAACGCCGCAAATCAATTCCGCTTCGCGCGCGCACACCAGCGCTTGGAATTTTAATCGCGTGGGGAATGTCTTCAGGGTTGTGTACGCCGGAGCCTAATGTTAACCGTTGTCCCGCCATGTACCTTTAAACCAGTGATATACACGTTCGTTCCCACCGTTTGCATAACAGATTAGGATCTTTTATTTATTTTCTCGCGCTGGGTTATGCGGCTACAAAAAGCCCGTCTCAGCTGCTACCAAAGAGAAAACGGCTTCTTGGAGTTCATATCTATCGGGTCAGCGCAATGCGTCGCCGGGGTGGTGATTAATGGTGGCCGCTTTCTTTGCCTGCTTTTAACGCGCTGACACTGACATTATGCCCCGACGAAAGTCTGGCGGCCGTCCAACATACTCCGAACGTGCTTTATGACACGCTTTGGAAACACTAAGCTGCTAAATTTGTTCGCTCGCGTACGCGAGGCAGGTGGAGAGTATCGCTGCCGTTCTGTGTGCCTCGACAGTGTCCTCAGGACGACTTCGATCGGCGTAAATCATCCACTGGATGACTCGACGTGCGCGCGCCCGCAAGGACCTCGCAATACATTTCGCGAGTCGTTCATTGTACGCGAGATTTGTATAGCGGCGCGTTCGCGCCCCACGACAGATGACATAGAACTTCTTTTTGTAACATGTACGACGACAAAAACGCGGCCGACAATGCCAAATTATTTTCTCGTTAATCCCAATCACGGATCCCGTTGAATTGGCACTCTTTGATCGTTTCATTTGTCAAGAAGCGAAATTATTTTTATTTTAACGAAATTATCGCTCGAGATATCGAATCGAAGCATCGATGCTTTGTCTTCTTTTCTGCTTTTCAAGTACACTGAGAGAAAAAAATATCTATTTTTGACAGTTACTAATAACATATTTATTTAAATCTGAATTTTTTCATTATATTATATTTTTGAACAGAACAATCACTTTTTCATGAAAAGCTGAGATTTCATGAAAACACATTTTTTTTTATTTGAAAAGTGTTTTATATTGGTGCAAATAAATATGTTAACATTTTTCTCTCAGTGTACATTCTCTGAGAAAAAACAATTGAAAATTTATTTATGAGATATGAGGCTTATTTCTGCGGAATGCAGTTTATTTCTGTAAATAAACTTTCTATTTCAGAAATAAATTCTCGAGTGATGCGATTTTTTTCTCAGTGCACGAAGAACGATCTCGATGCTGTCTCAACAATCTCAAATATTTGAGATCTCTATATAATATGTTTTGTTCGAGACGGTGATATGTCTTTCCGGAAATGACGGAGTCATTTGAAAAATTCTTTTCAAAGACATCAGCATGCCTAACGCATAAGGCGTGCACGGCCTTTTGCGGACTCGTGGACGAATAAAGCCGCGAAAGCGGTGGCACGCGTGTACGCGTATATTTGAGCTTATTAGATAAACGAGGAATGTACGCGATTTAAACGACTCGGTTAATCCTCGCGCATCTGCGCCTGTTACGACGCGCGTATGTAAATTTCGCGTTTCCATCTCCCGCTTGAATTAACTTCATACGTAGTAGCATGAGTCGCGTTAATGGCTGCGGCCATTGGCAGTCTTCTCGGAATGGTTGTCGAGCCATAAGAAACGGTCCGTCGTGAGCTATTCTCTTATCAATGATTTCTTATCAGATGATTCATTATTTCGAATTCCGGTCAGAACGAACACGGTTAGTTCGAGTCGTCGGCCGGTCGCTTCACGACTCTGTTTCGATCTACTGCCTGAAGGCAGACAGAAGTGTTCCCTCGTCTCGGCGCTTGCTTGCTGTTCCAGCAATCTGTTTTACTAACAGTCGATCAGCTCCGCCCGAAGTCAGTCTTATCAACCCGAATAATTCAATGTCGTGTCGACACGTGTCCATCGCTCTTACTGGAACAGTGAAATCGCTCTTTACGGAAACGCGCTATCTTACTGCCCACGGCTGCATAACATGGAGTGAAGTGGAGTGTCGTGTCGTGCCTGTATCCCATATTCGTGGCCTCGTTAATTCTTTATATTCGTAAAAATACTTCATGCCACTCCTTATCGCGCTTTTTAATAACACGTTTCCCTGATTTATTTTATCATTCCTGACAAGCGCGCAAAATAAACGTGCCTCTGCGCGTAAGGGAGAGTCGAAACTACTCGTTATACCTCGTAAAAATTTCTTATAATTAATCTAACAAATCAGGTCGCAAAAGTATCTTTGAAAACTGAAAGTTCATAAAATGCACAAAATTAGTTCTTACAATTCGAAGTTACAATTTATCTTTCTACGTTAACAAGAATTCTCTCAAAACTGTATTTGTAACAACCAACCTCATATGCTTTGATAGCATATTTTATAGCTAGGATTATACGTAAGAAAGTACGAGTGTAAGAAAGATATGTTTCAAGCAGTCAGCGTGACTGAAAGTTCTTGCTTTTGAAGTTTCTGAAGAGACACCTGGAATTCCAATGAACTGATGTGAGGGAACGATGATTAAGATTATCTTTAGTCCATTTCTCGACAGTGATATTAAAAGCATATTATCTCAGGGAATACGGTCAGAAGCATTTATTGACACATTATCGCGGTGTTCTCACGATTCATGTTGTATTTTTTCCCCTCACAGCGTTGTCGTTGTAGAGGTAGGTCGTGTATAACAACCCGATCCCGTGTAACAACTAAGCCCGCTCTCCCCCTGAAACACGAAGAAATCTTCGGCGTAATCGTCAGCGACGAGTGTTAGGTCGACGCTATCGCTTAACTCAGCATCTACTGCTGATAACGACGTAACAAGTCGAGCTGGCCAGGCGAACGCTTATCACCGCCCGAGAAACTGAACGCACCCAGTCTCTCTCGGCCGGCACGGTCGTCGCTCTGCTCGTCCTCTCGCACTCATCCGTTTCCTCTTTTTTTTCCGGAGCGAAATTGCGGTGTATTCTCGTCGCGGTAGGCAGACAGAAAGAGAGCGGATGCAGTCGCGGCGAGAATAATGAGTCTTCGTGTGTCGTTTCGGTGAGACTCTTTCGCGTAGCGCGCAGGTGTAAATGTCCGTGTAACGCGTACGACGTGCAATACGTGTATTGTTGTGTGCGTGATTGGGTGTGTGTGTGTGTATGCATGCACGGATGCATGCATCGCGTGTGTGATACCGCTGCTGATAACGCGCGGCCGTCGGGATTTTACGTGCCAACGCCGCTCTGTGGCCGCGTCCGTCTTCTCTGGACGAAAGAAATTTTAGAATCGCGCGGAAAATATCTGCCCTTTGCGTCTCGTACTAAACCACTTTTCCAGTTGCATCCGCTCCGTGATGCCTTTCGGATTCCGGTGACTGATTCAGGCCGGTAGAGTATTTTCTCGCGAGTGTGCTTCTTCACATGACGCGCTGCCGTGACGTTTTCTAACCGTTAACGGCACTCCGACCTTAATCCCTTTTCGCGGCAGACCGTTACTCGATCGCAATCTAATCGTTAAACACATCGAAAAACTACACTGAGAAGAAAGTACTTGACAATTTATTTGTGGAATGTTAAATTTATTTCTGTGAAATGAATTATCATGAGATTTTATTTCGCAAATAAATGTTTGAGTATTTTTTTTCTCATTGTGAATATCTTCGGAATCTTTGTCACCTTGTATCATCTTAGGCCCGTATTAATAGTTGCCACTTGAAACTTGTCTCAGGCGAAATCGGAATTTAGAACTAGGTCTGAATTTTGAATCACACTGAGAGAAAAAAAAGTGCTTGAAAACTTATTTGTGCAATAAGTTCACAGAAATAAACTTTATATTCCACAAATAAATTTTCAAGCATTTTTTCTCAGTAGATATTATATGCATGACATTACATCTGTAAACGTGATTTAGCTAAAAAATTTGTATCTAACTCTAAATTGAAATTAGTGTATCTCGAGATAAGTCCCAAGTAACAGTTATTAATACAGACTAAAAATTCTGGTTAATCATATTGATCAAGAAAAAGTTGAAATATATATCGTATTCGATATGTAAGTTTTACATTACACGAAGTGTGCTTCCGTCAATTGTTCCACGTCGTTATCCTTTCAAACTCTCGAATGAAGTGTAGAGATACCGAGATTTTATCTCACTTTTTTCTCAAGTTTTCCATATCTTTTATTCCCCTCTATTTTGTTCGCTCTTCGGAGACACGCTACCTATCTTCGCGTTTGTAATTGCTACGTAAATTAAATTGAACGATGCAGAACCACACGCGAACTAGAAACGACTTCTCGTTTACGGCCATACTCAGGAAATACCCGCGATACCGATCGTTTCCCAATTGTAGTCGCGGGAAGAGAAACGTCCGTCGCGAGGTCGCTTCTGCGAAGCAATGGGAAGCTCACATTGTTATTGAACGTTTATACGACAATTAATCCGACGACGGTGGATCACAGTTCGCCTTTGTTAAGAACGGCCTTAAGTCACGATGATTGCGCACTCCGCCTCGTGCAATTATGCGTTCCGCCGGAACTCCCAGCCTCCACGAAAAAGATTTCCTTGAAATGTCGTATTGTCCGCATGCAACGTGAATTCGCGTTAGAAAGAGATCCGATGTAGGGGAGACTGGATTCTAGTCGGCCCAAAGTTAGTCGTGTTGATCATTGGTGGTCATGTTGGCTATATGTTTTGTTTAGATATTTATTGCGGGAGCAACAGCGGCAAGTTTTGCCGCTATCACTTGCATAATACATGAACCAAACGTATGGCTAACACAAGCCTTGGGACTTAACCTGAGATGTCACAACTCCTCGTCTGTTTCCGCTGATTCCTCCACTCAATGTAGCCACGATAAACATAACGACATTCGATAATAATTTACAAGTGATCGAAAATTTCGAGGACCTTCACGAATTCGACCTCGGGATTGTGGATAACGAGTTCCTGTTTTTCGTACAATTTTAACCAGTTATCATCTCGGAAAAGTTTCAACTTAAAGATTACTTTTGCGAGGGAATTTCGAAAACTTTGTTGAAAAGTTGCGAAGATAGATATACGCACTGTGGTGCTCAAAAAAGAAAAGATTATAGGTGGAAGAAACTGCGGGAAATCTGCGGGAGACACATCACATACAAAATGCCGTCGGTCTATAAATCTCCTTTTACGCTCTCTCTCTCCCTTTCACCCCCCCCCC